TACTTTGCTATACACGCCGTTACATCATATCTCCATGTTACGTCCTGGCGATGCTACGGTATGTGTAACGAAACAGGATAACATTAAAGAGTTAATATTAGCGGTATTTGATGCTCTTAATCGTGAATGAACAAATTATCGACAATGTATGATATGTATGATTTTCAAGTATGATATGAATATTATAATAAACTGGCATTTAAGTGGTTTTAGGAACAGCGAAAGAGACGGATGGAATTCTGTACTGGAACTGCCGAAGTTTCAGCCAAGCTATATTGGCAGTCATCATGGAAAGTATGTAGTTGCCTAATGATGGCAAATGTAGTTTGGCTTAAGCTTCGGCTGCTCTGGTAATGACTACAATCCGTCCGTTTCGCTTGTTTAGAACCGTTGCGATGCCAGCTTATTGAAGAAGACACGAAGAAGTTAAATGATTTTCAAAAATTATTGCCAAGCTGATAAGGCAGCAAGCAAGCTGATAAAGCTTTATGATAATAGATATTTTACAGTGTATCCTGCCAAGTACTACGAATATTTACCAAAAATGACGAACTTGAACTATACAATGGCTTTTCTTCACATGTGCATTTTAGATTATAATTGCTGACGGTGGTGGTCACTTTTCCTTTGCTTACTTTGCAATGGTTGCGGTCTTTGGAGCACTTTATTAGAGCAGCTGCGTATCGCCCTGGTTGGATTTTATCCTTTCCACTTCAGAAGCATGGATTCAAAGCAGTGCTTGATCGTAGCATTTATTACTTTTTTGTCCTCATTATGTGTGGGTTTTTTCACATATCTTCCTGACGACACCTTCAAGCAGACCGTGCGAACGACTTGCCTGATCGGGGCTTTCGTGTTGATGGATTATGTTATTCAACTGCACGTGGTTGAGGTCGCTATTAGGTCTTCCGGCCTCGGACAAGTGTGTGCCTTTGGCTTTGGTCTGGCCACGTTGCACGACGATGAGCTGCTGCGTTCTTTCGGCCAGTACTTGATCGTATTTTCGTTGTTCCACTTTTCGGAGTACGCCACCACCGCTCTATGCAACCCCAGGTTCCTCAGCATCGACTCATTTTTGCTCAATCACTCCATTCAGTACTGGTTGGCGGCGTTTAGCTGTTGGCTGGAGTTCTTCACCGAGTTGCGCTTATTTCCAGGTATGTCCGCCTTTTTCAGTCGGCACTTCCAATCCTTCCTATTTATAACTTGCTATTTAGGCCTTAAAATGCTGAAGCTCATTTCGCTGTTTGGTCTTATTTTGTGCATAGTAGGCGAAACGATCAGAAAGCTGGCCATGGTCCAAGCAGGAAGCAACTTCAGTCACCTGATTGCTTTTAAAAAGGAGCCGAGTCACCGTCTAATTACTTCCGGCATTTACTCCATCGTCCGGCATCCGTCGTATGTCGGATGGTTCCTGTGGTGTGTCGGAACTCAGGTGAGGACGTGACTGATGTCTGCTGTAGTTCTCGTTCTGTTTAACGTATTACAGTACTTGATCACCTAATTGCTTCACAGAAAAACTGTTGCATGGCAGAACTCTTATACCGACATCTGTTACATCGGTTAGTAAGTCCTAATAAAATACCAATACTTAAATTTTAGTGGGCGAGTTTAATTTCACTTTCATTGGTGCGAAGGACGCCCTTGCTACATGACCAAATTGAGCCATCAGAATTGTAATTATACAATCAAACAATCAGACTATTTCAATTTATTTAAGGTGCAGAATGTAAGCGGGAGGGTCTGCAACGTACTTTCTAACGAACCACTCTGTGATATGATCATTTCGACGAACATGATGCTGGTGGCATATTGACAAGAACTCGACTTCGAAATCCGGAGGTACAGAGTTCTTGTTGCGAGAGAGAGAGAGAAGCAGTTTCTCGTAACCTCTGATTCCCATATGTCATGAATTTACCCAACGTTGCTTCGATGCAGCTAGCCGAGAAACGAATAGCAAGTCGTTGAGTTGAGAACAACAGGTATGGTCTGGCGTTGTCATATCAGAATAGGCAGAAGGCAAGCTGTCTAATAAGAGCGTCACTTAAGGTACCGACTTGATAGTATGGTTCGCTATCCAGTGTGATGATCAGCACAAGATGTAAACCCTTCAAGCTAACGAAGTTGTAGCACACTTTCAGTCAGGGGTGGGCTGTTCCTAGTCTGATTGCTACCCTTCAGCTAGGTCATTATGGGAAACCTTGTTGAAAACAAGCTATATTGCTCCAGGCAACAGTGTTTTCAACATCATCGGCATGTGATGGCATGCAGATCTGTGTACCATGCATTCTTTAACACTTTATGATTGATTACATGTTGCTTTTTTAGGTACTACTGGTTAATCCGATTTGCACAGTCATATTTGCCGTTGTCAGTTGGCGATTTTTTAATGAACGGATATTTTTGGAAGAACAGACGCTCGTCGCATTTTTTGGCATGGAATACGTGAATTATCAAAAGAAAGTGAGGTGTGGCTTGCCGTGGATTGAAGGGTTCAAAATTTGAAGACGCAGCTGGCTAATTTTCAAATTTCTAAGAAGATCAGCGATCTTCTGCGAAGAAAGATCTAGATCTTCGTTGCTTTGACGCAATCTATCGACTTCTTCGAAATGAGAGTGAATGATGAGCGGTGCAGTGTTTGCATTTTTCGCTAACACTGTGTTCACTACGTTCCAAAGCGGTTTCGAGTCCAAAGGATCAACTGCCTGTTTTAAATTTCATATGATCTTCATGACGCCACATACTAGCTTTGCAACCAGGAACAGACGTTTAATGTCGTAAAGCAGCTAAGTAGAATAAATTTGATTACAGTGATGGAACTCGGTTGGTTTTGGCATGCATTAAAAGGTGTTAATGTCTTATAATCTTGGCAAAGGGAAAAATCGATTGACGTTGCTTCGGTAGCGCAATGGTCAAGAATTTTTCGATTCAGTTTTCATTTTTTACGTTTGCGGAATGAACCGAGGAACAGTCGTCCCGAATAGTTACAGTTCTGCCAAATTGGCGTTTTTTGTTATTTTTTCATCGTCATCTGAATCTAATAAAGCCTAAAATGCAGAGTAG